GAATTATAACAAATCTTAAGTTACAAATCTATTTCAGACAAAACTGTGAAAGTTCAAAAATAAATCCTCCTTTTCTAAAAGTTAATATGCTGCAATTCTACCTTTTCTTCGATTGTAAAAGAATTACACTCGCTCGTCAAACAAGATATGAAACGCTTTTTCTCTAATTACGGATTTCCGTAGAGATACTATATCTTCTGTCTATTTCAATTTCTGTAGAAATTTTTTATGAATAGTCATAATTGATTTCACATCCTTAAATTCAAACTATCCGAGATTCTTTCAGTTTTCTTCGCATTTGTTTCGTTTCTATTCAATGAGAAACTATCCCTGCGCTTCTTTTTTTCTGTGCGCAATATCTACCTACGTGTTTATTAGTTTTATTAGCATGACTAAAGAACATCTTGGTTGATATTCTTGCAGGCTTAAGAGCCATTTTGCTCTTGCATTTTCCTTCACTATATTGTTTCCTCTTAGTACATTTATCTCTGGATAAAACACTAGATCATCGAAATGTCTGAGTTCGAACAGAGAGGAAAAGGATATCGGTGACAGAGGGAAAAGGATTGTGGAAAATGAATGTTTAAAAAGAACCTAATAAATCTACAGAGCAATAAAAGCGTATTAGATTATGTTTCGTGTATGCGGAAATCGCTGTTTGACTACAAGTTTCAAAAAAGTAACCGTAAAAGGTTCATTTGAAATGCCAGCAGGGGTTTTTTGATTTACAAAGAAATATTTGTAAACGAGATGTATTTTTCTATTTTTTCATTTTTATTATTTCTATACAAAACGATCTTTGAATGGAAAAAAGAAATGATATTTTTCTTTTGTCGAATATTACGTTTTGTTGAAAGAAAATCAATTTCGCAGTTATTTTTTCTAACCAAAGAAAGTCACAATTAATTATTTTAGATTATAAATCGAACATATTTTTAACGTTAGCAAAAGGTTAATTATTGATTATTTTTTTAACTAAAAAATCGGTCACAGCCAGACACTTTAGCGCATTTAACTACAAAATGGCGGTCCTTAATTATTGGAAAATTTACATTTTTATTCTGTTTCTACTTTATTACTAAGAGTAAAATTATACGAAACATTTTTTTTACCATATTTTAATTTTGATAAACTAATTACTAATTACTACTAATAGTAATTTTTTATTCTCTTTGCCCATTATAAAATTTAACGCGTTTAACGAAAAAATAAAGCTTTATCTTCTTAATGCGAAGTATCATTCTGGTGTAATTTTGCCAATTACTAATCAAAAAGTTAGCTAGCAGCAGTAAAATAAAAGGATAGTCTGCATTTTTTTATTGATAATTTTACAGTAAATACTTGATTTCTGAAATATACAAATTTGAATCTCCAGCGTTAAGTTTCTTTCCTTCATGACTCAGCACATCGATATTACGATACAACAGAAGAAGTCCACGTCAATCATAG